AAACACTAGTTTACGGTTAATATTTCAATCAGTCATAGAAGAGATGAACTTTAGTTTGGCATCGCATTAGATTTCATGATGATAATATATTGTTAACGATATCTTGTTAATAATATTTCGTGGGCGGTAGCAATACTAATTATTGGTAATGGTAATAAAACGAAAATATGAAAGGGCGTATAGAGTGGAGTGGGAGCAAGATCCTTTACTTACGTCGCGGATCTCCAAAGCTAAATATGATACAGACGTGGCCTTTTGTAAAGCCTGTAACTGCAAATTACATCTCGGCTGTCCGCTTTGAAGGAGCATGCCACTACTAGCAAACATCAAAAAAAAATATGAGTGGATGCAGTGGGCAGCCTTCGGCAAGTTAAATAAACTAAACAAATTGTAACAGGTATATTTATTTTTTCGCCAAGTTGAACGTCGTATTCCAGTCCTAAGCTAATATTTGTTTATTTATTTAATCTCATACCTAAAAAAGGCAGGATCTGTATTTTAAAGATGGTCACACCGTATCAGTATCTAACAGGCAATAGGCAACTGTAATAAAATATCCTGCACTTAAATTTAATTTAAAATAACTAACAACCTGTCCTAGCTAGTAATTTCAGTACTTATGTACAAGTCACTTTTTAATAATGATATTAATCGCCTTGTATTATTTATTTATTTATATTTTTAGGTTAATAGAAACAATTGGGTATTAATTTACATATAATACATGCGATAAATTTATTCGACGACCTTTTCACCTTCATTACTGAACGAAAGTATTCCTGTAATTTTGTAAGCGGATATAGGTAATTACAATTTATCTACCTCCGTCAAATTGGTATATATTTATATACCTAGTATCTATCCACTCAAAAATGTTATTAATAAATGCTATGTCGCCTCTACACGTTGGCCAACACAGTGGCGAATGGAGTGGCGAATATATTGGCCGAGAGTTGGTGACGGCGTCCACACGTTGGAAGATCGTTCAGTTTACTTCGGTTCGGGCTTTTTTTTTTTTTTTGCGCCCGAAGCAAATATGGGCAACCCTCCGGAAAGCGGGGGAGGGAGGTTGAGAATGCTCATAGCATACCACGCAGCCGGCTGCGTGGTTATGTGGAGACTTTTACCCACTAAACTCAACCTTTTGGTAATTGGCTTAACGATCTGACTAGAGATCTCTAAGCCGTATACGAACGCGACCCTCCTTGGCAGAAAGGAGGACGCAAGCGGCGTAAAGCCGCTTAGAAAAGTGCCTAACTAAGGCAGATTAATGGATGTGTTATGTAGGCTCGACCCGAGCCGCCAGGAGGCAGTTCAGGTCAGCCGAAAGCTTGTTGGGGGGGGACTCGGTTCGGGCCAATGTGCGGACGAATTTATAAGCACCGTGGCGCAGTGGCTCAGCAATGAGTGCCTGCGCCGGGCGCCGCGGGTTTGATCCCGCACGGAACAAGTATTTGTATCTCCTACAAATAATTGTTTCGGGTCTGGATGTGTGTCCTTGTGAAATTTATGTTTGTAAACTGCCTGCGCGATACGGGAGAAAATCCTAGTGTGGGGATAACGTTTTTATAAAATAATAGTGGATATTAATGGGGTTGTAAATAGATATACGATATACGATTTGCTTTATTTATTCTTTACATGCATCATAAACTGGAATAAAAACCATTAATAAGAACTTAACTTATTTTAAAGTTAAAGGAGTTATAATCGATTAGTCTATGTTTTAAAATTGGGTTTTGATTTTAAAGTTTAGCAAAATATGTACTTGCATTTCTATCAGACATTTGATGTACATAAAAACACCTTATAATTTATTTGGTAATTTAATTATTTTTTGAGAAAGACAGAAACAATAGCAATAAATATAATTAACACTAAATTAATAATAGGTACTAATTATAAATTAGAACATAAATAAAAAACTCATGACGAGCAAAGTGGCTCAGGACCATGCTTTGCGGCAGTCTGTGGAGGAGGATGTTCAGTAGTGGACTTGTGAAGAGCTGCAATGATGATGATTATTCGAAAACTTGCACGATTAAATTATAAGAAATCGACTCTTTTTTTATATAGGATAGATAGGAGGACAAACGAGCACACAGTTCACCTGATGGTAAGTGGTTGCTGTAGACAATAGACATCTACATCTATCCTCGATTACGAATCAAGATGCAGATGCGTTGTCACCCGTGAGGATTAAGATGAAATGCCTCGTTACCTTTAAAAAGTGTCTCTGGTTCTCTAAACTCACTATACGAAACACAGCATCATTAAGCTACTATTTTACGCTGATATTCTGTGAGAGCGTGGTTCTTCCCCGGTCGAACCGACCCATTCGTGCTACAACTATACTTCTAATATAACTGCATGGTTCTACCACGTATAAACAACGTGCTTCATTTTTTTTTCATTTTAAAATTGTTCTCGTAATAATCTGATTGTAAGTAAATGTACATTATTTTTTTTATAAATAGCTTATCGATTAAAACAAATGTTTAAAAATAATTAAATCGCGCTAATTAAAGTAGTAGGAATGTTTAAAGTGGAAATTGGCACTAAAAGGCTGGTTGGGTTTGTAAATTGGGTCATACACCCTACAAAGCGTGAATATAAAATTTAAATCAGAGGCGTGTAATCACTCTGGGAGCTTGTAGCAAACTAAACGCGCGGCCAACGTGTGGACGCGGCGACCAAACTCTGCCAACAATCCTTTGATCTTTTGTAAAAAACCGACACCACACGGATCTCGCGCCAACTTGCGGGCCATCGTTCCAATACATACCAATAAAGCCCAAACACCCCGTCTACACGTTGGCCAATGCTATTGGCCACTACATTCGCCACTGTGTTGGCCAACGTGTAGAGGCGCCGTAAAATCAATATATTCAATATAGCTATTCCTAATATTATGTTCTTAATAAATGATATAAAGTAAGTAGTAAAGTTACAGCCTATATACCTACGTCCCACTGCTGGGCACAGGCCTCCCCTCATTTCTGAGAGGGTTTTAGGGCAAGGAAGTGTCCGCAGCGCTGCCCCAATGCGTGTTGGCGAACTTCACATGTCTTCGAAATAATTTTTTTTCTCTTATTCCTCCGACATGCAGGTTTCCTCACGATGTTTTCCTTCACCGCCGAGCACGTGGTAAATCAGCACTTAAAATTGCAATTAACAATTTCATTGGTGCCGGTGGGGATCGAACCTGGGTTACTCGCGTTCTGTTATATTTACTCGCGAGTGTAAACCATCTGAGCTACCACGGCTCCTTTAATAAATGATGTATAAAAAGTAATTAAAATAAGGAAATTTGTTATACGTTTAGAGCCAAAGACTTCGTTAGAGCTTAGAATAAGGTAAGGCTAATCAGTGAAAGCAAATACTAAAACGATTTTATTTACAATCACTGGTACCTAGCTGGTAAACTTAACTTTGTACCTTTGTTTTAAACGTGGTAGAGACACGCTGCAGCTATATTGTGGTTGCAGCACGAATGGCTCGGCTCGACCGGGGTCGACGCTCTCACAGAATACCAGCATAAAATAGTAGCTTAATACTGCTGTGTTTCGTATGGTGAGTGTAGAGAACCGGAGACCCTTTTTACTTGAAACGAGGCATTCCATCTCAGTCCTCAGGGCTGGCAACGCATCTGCATTTTGCATCCACTTACCATCAGATGGTCTATGTTCTCGTTTGTCACCCTTATTCTATATAAAAAGGTAGATAATTAAAAATTTTTTTTTCATATTTGCAAAGGTAATAATATAAATAGGTTCGAGTAGGTTGGTATGTATTGTATTCAGATTGTATTGCAATTTGCAGTTGCCTCGTATTATTTCGTTATCGTTACTGCAACAGCCTATTAAAGTCCAGCTGAACATGAGGGAATAATAGATTGCCTCAAATGGGGCATATTTGCCATGGTTGCCACGCTTGGCAAGCAAGGCAAGCAGGTTTGCAACCGCAGTTTTTTTATTTTAAGTCGTTATAATATACCATAACAACTAAAAATAAAAATAAAAACTATATAATATTATAAAAGCCGTAGTAGCTCAAAGGCTTAGCGTTCGCTGTAAATTGCACAGTATGCAAACCCCCGCACATGTGCTCGGCGGTGAAAGAACCTGCACAAAAAAATATTTCGAAGAGATGCCAAGTTCGCGAATACGCATGGGGGCAGCGCGGTGGACATTTCCTTTCCCTAAAACCCTCTCAGAAATGAGAGGAGGCCTGTGCCCAGCAGAGGGACGTATAGGTATAGGCTGTAGTCGCTAAAGACGCTGCGGCGCATCTGATTTATTATTTCCCTCTGTCTCCTGATGTGGCGTAGTGGATTTTCTCACTTTTTAGATTCTTATTCTATTAGATTTTAGGAAATTAAATAATTGTTTGGATTTCTATGGTTAAAATTTAAAGAATTATAAGTATTCTTTCGTCTTTTTTCAATCTTTTGACGTTTGGTTACATTCACATTATTTTAAAAACTAGCGCGCAGTTCGAATTTCTCACTATCCAATGAAAAATAAACGCAATTTGTATAAGCCAATCACAGAGCTAGCATGTGGTGTGACTTTGTGGGACGCGCCTAGCCGTTGTCCCAATATTCGAATGGAATGTACTATCATCGTACAAATTGGTAGTATTTTGCGCAGAACATTGTTATATTTAATAAAATAAAAAATAATTAGATACATACTTGATTAGCAATCAATGACGCTATTTAAATACCTACATAAATATTCCACTACATAATAATAAAAATATTCAGTCTACGCTTCCCCCGCATCGTACGATCGAGTCATATAAAACGCGAGGACGCTCCCCACCTCCAGCAAAACGTCAAATCTCTCAGTTGCGTGCAGTTGTTCGTGCTCGGTGAATTGGAGTAACTAGTCAGTTCGCGTTGTCTCAGTAACAGTAATCTCGTTTAAAAATCATTTAGTGACATATTTAAGACGTGTTTGTTCAGTGATATTTAAGCCATTAAATAACACAAGAAAATGTCTTTCAATACCGATATTTCGTCCAAATTGGAAAGCAGCAGGTACGCAATGTGTTTAATTTACTAATAAAATGATGCCACGGATAATATTCCTCGTGAATGCGTAACGCATTCATAAATTTTGTATTGTATGGAAACCTTTTTAACACAATTATTTACTTATATCTCTTGTAATGGAATACAAAATACCTTTCACATTTATGTATGTTAGCGTCGTTTTCTTTAAAATGATGCAATATCTCCATACGTATACTCAATAGTAATACACAAATTTTTAAAAGTTAGTCGATCGTTGTCACATTATGATTATGGCCGTTCTAATGTAGAACTTGTTCAGTGAGATGATCTTTCTGATGTCTAGCCCTGCGCAGTGGGATTTTCCAACTAATTCATTCTGTACTTTTTAATAATAGAAAATAATACAGAAATTGTAAATCAACTTTCAATCTGTTGTTATTAAAATTAATTTTATATTTCTGTCTATTTGAATACCAGTAACGTCATAGTGTTAGATGTTAGTCATTATTTCTTACAGGTCTTGCTTGTAGATAGGTGTGTCATGGTCGGTGTAGGTTATGTAGCTGATGTAACTTGCTTATCATTAAAGGTTTTTATAAGATTTCGGATGTGAATTATAAATGGCTTATGTCTTAGAAAAAGTTATTTTAACTATGTAATATTGTAACTAAGTTAAGTGCCATTATTTAGTTGCCTTAACCACATTTAAATGTCTAATGTATTTTGCTACTATGCAACAAAAGCACTTTCAATCAACAATTGTTCATATTCAATCATTAACATACACACTATTCAACTTCTATAATAGACTTTCTTAACATTGCTGGGCCTGTACCCAATTTGTTCAACTGTATTATAAAATACATATGTATGTCATAAAATATAAATTATATGTCCACCATATTCAGCATGCCAGACAAGTTTGTGTTTGCAGCGCATTACCTGGCACTATTTATGCTTACTTTAGACTAATGCCTGACCTTTGTTCATTATTTAACCAAGTGATCATATGCGATGAATTTGCAAATTGGAAAAAATTTTTAAATCTCTTAGAACCACAGTTAATGCACCTCATCCTTCATTGTCTTATAATTCCTTCTTTATTGTTACAGAAATACTCTGAGAAAAATTGCCCGCAATGACAATACTGAGTTCTCCAAGCAGAGCATTTTGAATGACATGGAAAAGTTTGTGAAAATGGTAAACACCATGGATGAGACTGTGCTTGTGCCGAGTCGTCTTATGAATCTGCCGCAAGAGGGTGACGATGATCCTTTCAGCCTATTTGCTATGTTAAACGACTTAAAGACTGAGTTGCTGTGGGCTGGGGATGTTGAGGACCAAGGGGCTAGAAGAGTATCTGACCTGAGTGACACTGAAAGTGATGCCTCTAGTGCAGCTGGAGACTCCGGCATAGATGGAGAAGATGAACGGGAATCTGCTGCCCGTGCTGCTGCCTCTTGCCGCCGTCATCTACAAGGACTTCGCCACTCCCTTCGCACACTTACAGCTGCAGCTGCACATCTCACAAGGTCTTATCAAGAAGAGGTGGGCGCACCAGTTTAGGCAACATTTTCAAACCACCTGTGATTGAAGCATGACCTGCACGTTTTGTATATATAGGATAAGCGGCCCACCTTGTACATATAGCTATATAAGGGCTGAGCGTGTTTGGGAATCTCAGTAAGTTATGAGGTTATTTAATAAACTAAATTTTCATTATTTCCTTAGTTTTATTTTGTTCACTTATTACATGTTCCTTTCATTAAAATAATACTTCTCATGTTACTATTATACACAAAATAAAACTAGAGAAGTCTTAAATTAGGAATAGCTTGTACTTCAATAGATTTTTCTATGTAACATTGGAGAACTACAAATATCTAATCTTGTAGAATTTGCCCTAGATTGAATATTTCTTTTGTAAATGCACATTATAAAGACATAAATTGGTCAATAATATTACAACTTATTTACATAAGCACTGTTCTTGAAACAAAACTAGGTTTATGACTTCCAAACTTTCAAACGCAACCAAATAATTTAATTACTTATGATTTTATGATTAGTTTAGTTCTGCTTGATATTTTTTACAGAATGTACTGTTTAGAAAACCGGAAATGAAATGAATGGGATAATAATAAAAATATTGACTTTTATACTAAAAATCGTAAAATATTGTGATACTTACATATAGGGCTAAAAACCTCGAGGTCAGGTAGGTACTTGTAATAAAAGAAGAATTATGACTATTGAATAAACATATCAACATAAACTATATTTCTTTTATGCCATAGCTAGAATATCTAGGAATTCCAAGGAGTAATGTAGTCGCTTTGTGTTCACGTTTTAATAGTAATGGAGCTTGTTATTACTGGCTGACGAATTTTTCTTTGGTCTTGTATCATGTACCAAATAAAATTTTGTCCTAGTGTGCAAAAAAACATCGACTTTGAATAAAATTGTATATTTTTTAAATAAAAAAATTCTTTGATTTATATAAAAAATGTGACAGTTTTAATTACAATACAATTTGTTTATGCCATTAAACATCGTTTTGTTTGTCTTGCAATATTCAATATTCACATGTCACCTTTATTGGTGTCACTCATTTTATTTTCATATTTCTATAATTTAATACTTATAAGCAGTGCTGGATTAAGCCAATGTGTGGTTTTTAAGGGTGTTGGTGAGCTGTAATGTATCAATAGTGTAGTCTATATTGTAAACTAAGTAGGCGGTTTTATATCATTCCTTAAATCTTTATATTTATATTATATATCCATTCTATAATGTCCTCCAGACTGAACTTCGGTCACGGCGGCAAGGCTCAACGGAGACTTGCCATCTGCACAGGACAGGATTATAGTGTCCAAGTATATACGCAAGCACAGGTGCACTCTATACCCTCACCCTCATAATCAATTGATGGGGCGGTAAGCCGACACGACCGGAGAGAGGTCAGGCGCAGGACCAACGACTTTACGTGCTTTCTGAGGCACGGGGGTGAGACACCTAACTTCGTGACTCCGGGCTGCTACTGATAATTTCTTGATGGAAAAACTCAATTTTTTTTTATATCCCGACCTGGGAGTGCTGGGATGGTAATCAGACACGATTGGAGCTCCTAGCTGTTACTGAGAATTTCTTGACAAAATCTCAATTGCTGACTGTTAGCCCGATCCTGGATTCGAATCCGGGACCTTATGAACTTATGATCAGCAACCGTGTTTACGACCACTAGGTTAATAAGGCAGTCACACATCACACACAATTACTATATTATCCGATTTTTTTTTTGAAATACTAGGGCAGGCCACATCTGTACCAAAATCATCGGGTTGCTATCATGTTGGATATAATTTAGCTTCAATAGCCACTTGTGTGTATGGCTAGTTCAATTACATCCTTGCGAAAGTATGAAGTGAATTTATTGAAATAATCTCAATACAACAGATTATGTATATTAATTTATATACTATGTACTATGATGGTCAACGAGTTACGATACTACGAGGTCCTCTTTTAAAGATGTTTTTGTTTTACTAAAGACTAGCTGTTAGCCGCGACTTCGCCCAAGTGGAATTTATTACGACTGAGTGTTGTGGGTTTTAATTTTTTTCTCGGAACCCTATTTTTTTCTAAATATATACCTAAGTTACTCCTTACTCTAATGCATGAAAATCCCGTCAAAATCGGCTCAGCCGTTTGAGATTAGTCAGAACAAATAGACAAAAATTTAAAAATTGTGTTTTTGTTATAATTACCATAGAATACTATAATACATATATAAATAAGTACCGTACTTATATAGGTACTTTCACATGCATTTAGTAAAAAGCTGTTATTTTGACATTACAAACAAACACTTCTGGTTTATTTATTTCTATGCATTATGAATGAAGACAAATAATTTGATATATTTTGAAATACAACACATTACACAGTTACAATTTTATACATACCTATTAGGTATTGATGTCATGGTAGTAGTTTTCTTAACCCTAAATTATATTTTTTCCATAACGTAAGAATCTGATGCATCTACATCTACACAAATAAATACAAACGAAGTAAAGTTACAGCCTATATGCGTCCCACGGCTGGGCACAAGCCTCCTCTGAGACGGTTTTAGGGCAAGCAAGTGACCGCCGCGCTGCTCCAATTTGGCGAACTTCACGTTTTCGAAATGTTTTTTTTTTCTTATTCCTCAGACATGCAGGTTTCCTCACGATGTTGTCCTTAACCGCCGAGCACGTGATAAATCAGCACTTAAAATTGCAATTATCTATTTCATTGGTGCCGGCGGGGATCGATTCCGGGTTACTCGCGTTCTGTTATATTTACAGCGAGCGTCAACCACCTGAGCTACCACGCCAATTTGTAATGCCAAAATAACAGCTTTTTACTAAATGCATATGAAAGTATATATGGTACTTGTAACAAAGCAACAGTTTTTATAAATTTTGTCCGTCTGTCTGCCTGTTTGTTTGTTCCGGCTAATCTCCGAAATAACTGGACCGATATTAACGGGACTTTCACTGGCAGATAGGTGGTGTTATAAAGAGTGATTTAGGCATCTTTTATTTTAGAAAAGGAATCAGGGTTACGTGCAAAAAGTAAAAACATGAAATCCAACCTTAATAAATTCCACGCGGACGAAGTCGTAGAGAACAGGTAGCTTGAAATAAAAAAAGACATAAAACTTCCTTTTAATAAAGAACTTAAAAAACTAAACTTTTATCACCAGCCTCGTTGATACTAATTACTAGACTTAAAATGAATAGTTTGATCGGCTACACGCTGAATACCGAATATTCTGCGGGCTTCCTGGCCGAATAGCTAGGAAGCCCGCAGCCGAGAATAAAGTACTGTTTATTCCTAGGGTCTGGAAGCTGGGATTGTCTACAAGAAGAAAATGAGTAAAATACTGCTTGCAAGTGCAGAAAAATTATTATTTCTGCACCATAACCTTTCACTTAAATTACGATAATTCAAGTGCATACACATTTTTCTAAGTTTTTGTTAATTTTTATAATACGGAAGTTGATTATTTACCTATAACTACTTTAATGACTACAAGGAAAATACATTATTATGAAATAAATCAATATTTTCTTTTTGTCTATTATCTGACTACAACAAAACATCTTACGCAGGTATTCGGCCGAATAGTACCTAGTATGCGGTATTCGACTAAACAGGATAATAGTAGTCGAATAGACAGATTCCCGTATTATAGCCGAATATTTGTTGCGAGTCTACTAATTACTAAAATAGATCACGATATAATTATCACTAATTGAGAAGCAAAGAGGCAAAATAGATAACGCAGAGCGTTTTGCGTGCTTTATCGCTAACATCTGTGATTTTGTTTTGGTCGATTATTAAAATACTTAGTTTTAATGAATTGTAATTACGGAGTATGGCAAATCGTCCTCAATACAGGAATGGCCAGTGCCCAGTTTTGGACTTGTGCGGGCTAAGGAAGATATATTGTCATAGCTAAAGACTAAATAAATTGCCTCGAGTTTGGACAATTATACGAGTAAAAATTCAAGGCCTATTGTTTGCGAAATTGGTTTCTACTTTTGAATTTAATACGTGGTAGAGCCAGGCTGCAGCTATATTATGGTTGTAGCACGAATGGGTTGGCTCGACCGGGGAAGGGCCACACTCAGAATACCAGTGTAAAATTGCAAGTTAATACTGCTGTGTTTAGTATGGTGAGTGTAGAAATCCGGAGTCTTTTTTACTCGAAACTAGGCATTCCATCTTTGTCTTCAGGGATGATAACGCATCTGCGATTTGATTCTTAATCCAGGATAAATGTAGATGTCTATGGGCCGCAGCATCCACTTACCATTACCCTTATTCTATATTTAAAAAAATTGAAATTGGAACGGCAGAACTTATGAGTTACTTAAATTGAAATTTATAAAAGCCCCTAAAACAAAAAAGATGATGATCTTGAAATGGCTGAACCTATTTTGTCAAAACATGTCTAAGAACCACCGTTAGAAAACCTGCTTTTAAATGAAAAAAAACCGCACCCAAATCGGTTCACCCGTTTAAGAGCTCTAGTGCCACAGACAGACAGAAAGACACACACACTTAGCGTTCAAACTTATAACACTCCTTTTTTTCGTCGGGGGTTAAAAAGAGAACTTGTAAAAACCGTGTATTACAAGAATATGTTCAAAAAATTGAATCACGCAGTCATAATTATCACTTACTTTTCAGAGACGTTTGCAATAGTAGTCTCATAAGTTTAATTTCCAACATCTCCCATCCATTGCGGCTCGTCTCACAAGTCCACTGCTGCACATGGGCCTCCCCCATAGATTGACTCATAGGGGCAGTATTTGCCATAGTTGCCACACGTTGCAAGCGGGTTGGCAAGAGTCCTTTTTATTAATTGTTATCTCATCTCCCGTTACAGTTTGACAGTTTCCCTCTGTTGCCTTTTACGACATTCGCAAGTTGATAAAGGGTAGTTAATAATGTTACATTACTGCGTCGTTGGTCTAGTGGTTGTAGTAGTGCGACTGCTGATCATGAGTTCCTGGGTTTGAATCCCAGGCCGGGCCAAAAAAATTATTATTGAGTGTTTCCGTCAATAAATTCTCAGTAGTTGCCCGGAGTCAGAAAGTTGGCGGTGTCTCACCCCCGTGTCTCGGAAAGCACGTAAAGCCGTTGGTCCTGCGCCTGATCTCTCTCCGGTCGTGTCTGTTAACCGTCCCATGGGATTATGAGAGTGAGGGAATAGAGAGTGCACCTGTGCTTGCACATACTTGGGCACTATAAGCCTGTCCTGCGCCGATGGCTAGCCTCCGTTGAGGCAGGCCGCCGTGGCCGAAATTCGGTCTGGAGGACATTGTTATTATTATAATAAAGTTACATCGCCACTGCATGGCTCATTTTTAACCATTGATATATTATGTATAAGGACATTATACTTTCATGTCTCTAACTATTAACTAAACAACTCTTATAGCTACATACCTTAGTTGGCTCCGTTGGTTCTTAATACATAAAAGATTGGACATTTATTTATTTCAACAGATGTTTCAACGGTTAGGGAAGCGTGTCAATAATTGGAAGCCGGGAATATGGAGTTTCCATTAATTTGTGACAGGAAAAATATCAGTGTTAGTGTTGTCAAAGGTTTTCAATTCAATGACACGTTCACTTGTCTTTAAAATTCCTCAGCTTTCCATATGAACAATGACCTCGTTAAACTCTTATGTCACAGTATTTGTAGTTGAAGCCCTATTAAAGTAAACAGTGAACTAACTTCACATAATCTTTTCTTGTAACGCATCGCATTGACGGTAAATCACGATGACTCTATATCAGATGTTAGAATATTTCGTCAGTATATACAAACCCGTGGTAGTGGCGGTGTAAAAATATCCACTACCCTATGTCATCACAGAATAAATAATATGTACTTACAGGGGTTCGTTTATGAGCTTTGTTTAGGAATTATATACATAAATAGACGAGCTAGGTAAAATGCAAATTATACTTTTAAACGTTAATACATATGTACATACGTACTTTATTTTAGGTTTAAATGTACATTTATTCAAGTTTATTTTACTCTACATAAAAAAGTCGGTTGTTTTTTTTTTGTTTCAAACTATTCACACTTTATCTTTTTTTTTTTCAATATTAAATAAAGAAGAGAAAATATCATTCTCTGTGTTACTGCTTTGCTCTATAAATGATCGCAAGTCTCTATAAAAAAAGCTAATGATAAAAATAAGTTACTGTAATTAGACCTTAGTGTATTGTTTACATTTGAAACCACTTGGTAAACATGTGTAAGCAATATCAATGGTCTACAGGAAACCTTTATTGTTTGCACATTCATTTATAATGACTCATTGATGATGATTTCAGTTGCAAAGGTCGTCTTCGTTACAACTTTGAGTTACTAAGGTGTGATGCCCAGATTATTCGTTTAAGTTATAGAGGATATTTTAAGTAAAAGATGTTTTGGACTCCGAGTGGAAGGGAGCACAAAATTTTATGAATTTATAGAGGTTACTACGTTATCGAGGTTTAAGTTATCAAGGTTCTACTGTAGTACATGTCCATCCCTTCACTGCGCTTGCCAACCCGCTTGCAAAGCGTTGAACTATGACAAATATGCCCCCATGAGGCAATCTATAGGGGAGGCCTGTGGTCAGGAGCGGACTTTAATAGGCTGTAACGTATGAACGTATACAAAAATATTTACATTGTTATGTTGTGATTATCCAGCTACCTGTGAAGGGTACGAGTAGTGGCAGAGTACGGCACTACCAAATTTGTTTTTAAGAGGAATTAATAATTTTTCTTCATACTACTGAGCATAGTTACATTAGTAATTAGTAATATAGCGTCTACGCTAAAGTTATGATAACTACAATATACTCAATGAAGGGAGTTAACTAGGTACTTGTAGTTTTGTTAGCCCCGATGAAAAAGAGGGATGTTGTGAGCTTGATCGCCATGTGTGTGTCTGTATGTGTCACCGTAGGTCTTAAACGGGTGAACCAATTTGAGTGCGGTTTTTTTTATTTAAAAGCAGGTTTTCTAACGGTGGTTCTTGGACATGGTTTATCAAAATCGATTCAGCCATGTGAACTTAATCAGCTTTTTTTGTTTCGGAAGTTTTTAAAAATTTCAATTAAATTATTATGTCGTTACGATGTATATACAAAAATAACACGACATTTTTCTGATGAAAATGGATTATATACAGTGGGTTGCCAAATTATTAGGGACAGTCTATTTTTTTTTCTTGTTTTCTAACTTTAAATGCACTTGACCGCAGTTCAAGTGGTTAGAGTGAAGATGAAATTTATTATATCATTTGACCTGCTTCTTTCGCTAACATAATAAGTAGATTTTGAGAATTATGGGGTTTGTTTTTATATTTTAAAAATTTTTGAATAGCGTGCGAGCCGCATTATGCTATGCTTAAGATGCGTTAGAGTGAAAGACGGATTTGAGGATTTCAAACTAAGTAAATTTTATATTTGTGCTTTTACATTGTGTCAAAATGTATTTATTTATTATAATATAAATATTTTTTGTTGAATAATTTTGATAATTTTTATTTATTGGTGTGATTTGTCTCCTAGGAAAAAATCTGAAATTAAAACTCTTCTTGAGCACACCACTCATTCCCAAAGGAAGATAGCAGATATTGCTGGTATTTCCAAGTCAGTAGTAAATAGAATAAAATTAATTTGGACAAAAAGCAGCGCCTGTCGCCTAAGAGAAAAGGCAACAGTGTGAGAAAGCGCGTCACAACACCACGTTCAGACACAAAAATTAGGGATTTCTGTTTACAAAACCGATAAAAGTGCTAGCCTGTTAACTCAGTTAGTCCAAGAATCTGGAATATCAGTTTCCAAGAGAACTGTGCAGCGCAGGTTGGCAGAAGAAGGATTAACAGGCCATCGTCCTGTATAAAAACCTCGCTTGACTGAAGCAATGAAAAAAAAACCGGCCAAGAGCGTGTCGGGCCACGCTCAGTATAGGGTTCCGTAGTTTCCCGTCCGTCACAATAAGTGTTCCCACTTATGAGTTTAAAGGTGGTTATCCATTATGTCCGCGCTCCAGCAGCGCTCCGCGCTCCTGCAACTGCTCCCGGTAGTGGGTACTGTTGTTTCCATCCAAGTTCAAAATGATTTTCCTAGAAAGTCCTTATAAAGTTCTACTTTTCAGATTTTTTTTTTCATATTTTCTAAACTTATGTTTCAAAAGTTAGGGGGGGGGGACACATTGTTTTTTACTTTTGGAGCGATTATTTCCGAAATTATTGATATTATCAAAAAATGATTTTAGTAAACCCCTATTCATTTTTAAATACCTTTCTAACAATATATCACACGTTAGGGTTGAAATTAAAAAAAAATCACTTCCCACTTTACATATAGGGGGGGGCTACACTAATAAAACATTTTTTTCTAATTTTTATTTTACCACTTTATCGGCGTGATTGATACACATATTGGTACCAAATTTCAGCTTTATAGTGCTAACGGTCACAGAGATTAAGTGAGGACGGACAGACGGATAGACAGACATGGCGAAACTATAAGGGTTCCTAGTTGACTACGGAACCCTAAAAAAAGCGACTGGCTTGGGCTCGGGAACATCGACAAATGACAATTGAGGACTGGAATAAGATCAGTTTACCTTATTTCTGTCGTTTGCCATTATATTCGATAACATTATTCAATATTACTTACTATTTTTTCAGGTGTGTTTCTCCGATGAATCAACTTTTGAAATTTTGGCCGACAAAAGTAGCTTCGTCAGACGGCGCCCAGGTCAAAAATATCACCCCGACTGTATCGTGGAGAGGATGAAACACCCTGTCAAAATTATGGTGTGGTCAGTCATAAGTGCCAAGGGTGTTGGACGGCTCTACGTTGTCCAGGGGACAACACCAATCAATATCAAGATCAATCAATATAAAGAAATGTTACAAAATCGATTGTTGCCAACACTCAGGGAATGGTTCCCTGATGGTGAGAACTTTACCTTTATGCATGATTCAGCACCCTGCCACAAAGCAAGAAGTGTCACCAAGTTTCTAGAAGAGAATAACATTCCAGTCTTACCTTGGCCTGGCAATTCTCCTGATATGTATCCCATAGAAAATCTTTGGGAGATCACTAAAGCAGAAATTGCCAAAGAAATGATAACCACGAAGGTAAGACTGATTGAAAAGCTAATAGAGGTTTGGCATCACAATTCTAAAATAAAACAAAGTGCTAAAAATTCATAGAACGTATGCCCAGACGCATAGAAACACTAATTGCAGCCAAAGGAAATGTTACAAAATACTGACCAGTTAAATTCGACAACATCTTTTACTTATTTTATTTATTTTTAATTATTTTTATTTACTTTATTATATTTCTTATTACTTTTATGACATTATAGGATATTGTCCTAATTATTAAAAACGTATTTACATTAAAAAGCCTTTGTTTTATTCATTAATTTTAGCCAAATACTTGACAAATGCATTTTTTTTCAACTGTCCCTAATAATTTATCAACCCACTGTATATTGACAAACATTTGCGCCATTTAATTATATATGTTTTATCATGTAATTATATCAATATGTCGACATAGCAACATAATAATAAATAATCTGCGAAAGTCTTTTGACCGATAACAAATACGTAAGATAGATTAGCACTCAGTTTACGTAGGTCAAAATGTTGTTTATAAGACTAAGCTGATGAAGTTGTTTTATTTATTAAATGATTGAAATGAAATATTATGCTTGGAGTACATTACAAACAGTAATTACACTAGATAACATGATGCAATTAGGGTGAAGCCGTTGTCAGTCCGCAGGGGGCCTTAGGGGTCACGAACTTGTATGTGATTGATAATGGGGTGAGACTGAGAAGCTTGTTTTGTTGTTAGCTGGTGTCTCTAATCAGCTGATGTAAAGTAAGGACATTCGAACACGCATTTTGAAATATTCCATAAGTATTGATTTGGAGACATTTTTTATTTCTTTCATTTAATTTGCCATTACTGAGTACCAAATGACGGCTCGGTAACATAGTGATTGTTTGACTGCACGCCGCGGAATCGAAACCCATATTGAATAACGTGCAATTTATGTATGTAAAATACCTCCACTGTGCAGGAATTTCTAATGTATGTTGGTAGAGTTTTTCAAAAAAATTTAAGAATTGAATATAGTAATAATGTCTAATGTCAGTATCAGTTGTTAATAGCTTTGCTATTACCATCATTTAATCTAAACTAGACACACGTCAGTGTGTGAGCCACGTTCGGAAAAGCAAAGGACGACGCCCCGGCTGTGTATTTATTTACGCAAACCAGAGCTTTTCGCTTTTCTAGCTGCTTCGACCCTCATAATTCAAAAACTATTACGTACGTACGTACATACTTGGAATTTTGCATTTATGATCCCCTTTAAATCGCTTTCATGAACAAACATATTATACGTAGTTCTCGAGTTATTAAGATCAGAAAAACGCCATTTTTTATCTTAATAAGATAATTGACATTAGGCTTTAATAATTATTGATTTGTTGACATTGATTTTAATGAATATATTTGACGCTTTGAAATAAATGTTACCTGAACATAAATTTAACCTTCCGTGCACCATGTGGGGTCTAATAAACCCCCAGCGAAACAAAAATGTCTGTAACTCTTTAAAATTCGCACGCTTGCTCTGATGCTTTAAGTAGCTGGAGTTGCGACGTTGCCAAACCGCCTAGTGACAGTAATTTAGTAAACGTGTCGCGGGCGCAGCGGATAGACGTATCCAAAGTGCTTCAGGGTCTCACAAACCCCACGTGGTTTGGGACGTCGTCTAAAACGTAAGTAGTGTGTTTTTGTAGAATGCAGTAAAACTATATTATTTTCTACTTTTTTTGACAGTTTTTTTATGTTAACGTGTTATCAACAGGTGCCTTGGATTTGAAATGGCTCATCGAATGAGTGACAATGCAATAGCATCTGCCCTTGTGGAAGAAAGTGACAACGAATTGGATGAGCTCTTTTTACCTGGAAGCGAAGATGAATCGGATCATTTGAGTGTGCAGTCTGAATGTGAAAGTGAAGAAGAAGAAGAAGAAATTACTTCGGGTGGTGAGTTTCCTAGTTCTCATCAGTTTTATATGGGTAAAGACTGCAAAACTAAATGGCTAAAGGAACCGCTAAGGACTAATATTCGTACAAGAAATGAATATATAAAATTACACATTTACCGGGAGTAAAGAGTCAATATAAAGATAAAAAAAACTCATTTGGAATGTTTCGAAGCATTTATTTCTAATGAAATACTAGAGATAGTTGTAAAATATACCAATGTAAGAATATGCTTATCTAAACCACAGTCATCAGATGGCAAAAACATAAATGCGCTGTATTCTGAAACAACTAAATCTGAAATAAAAGCTGTTTTAGGGCTTTTATTTTTAGCTGGATTGTATCGATCTAGTAGACAAAATCTCAATGATTTATGGGCTCATGATGGTACAGGAATTGAAATATTCCGTTGCACAATGTCGAAACATCGATTCTCGTTTTTACTCAATAATTTGAGATTTGATGATATTGCGACAAGGGAAGAAAGAATAATAACTGATCGTTTGGCACCAAACCGAGACATTTTCGAGATCTTTGTCCAAAGTTGTCGAAATGCGTATACACCTTTTGAATACCTAACACTAGATGAAGAGTTAGTTGCCTTTCGGGGTAGATGTGGTTTCCGCCAATATATTCCATCTAAACCTGCCAAATATGGAATAAAAATATATGCCTTAGTAGATGCAAAAACATATTACACCATGCATTTAGAGATTTACTATGGTAAACAACCAGATAATAGTCCTTTCGCGGTCAGCAACAAACCCTATGACATCATCGATCGTATGGTGAATTGCGTTTTTGGCTTTTCAAGAAATATAACAATGGACAATTTTTTCACCAGTTACGAAGCTACTGAAAATTTACTATTCAAACATAAACTAACAGTAGTTGGTACCTTGAGAGCCAATAAAACTTGCATTCCACTGTGTTTCAAGCTAACACGAGAGGAACGTTCTTCAAGATTTGGTTTCCAAAAGGATATAACTCTGGTTTCTTATGTACCAAAGCCACACAAACACGTATTCGTAATGTCGTCTCTACATCATGATCAAGAAATAGATGAGGATACCAGCAACTAGCATAAACCATCCGTAATTACATTCTACAATAAAACTAAAAGTGGAGTGGATGTGGTGGATAAACTCGCGAGGACATATGACGTGTCTCGTAACTCTAGGCGCTGGCCACTCACTATATTTTTTTCGATGCTCAATCACGCGGGAATCAATGGTATGATCTTACACATGTTGAATAATTGTATTGAAACAGTAAAAACTAATCATAGAAGGAGGTTTATTCGCGATTTAGGAATGGCTCTGATAGATGAGCATTTGAGAAACCGTAAAGACAATCCACGGATACCGAAAGATTCTCGTAAACGCCTATATGATTTATTTGATGAAACGCCTCAGGAGCCGCTAAAAAAATAGCAAGATCTAAAACAAGGTGTTCGGAATGCGACTGGAGAAAAGACCGAAAGACCAAGTACAGTTGTGAGAAATGTGAAGTACCCATATGCTTAGAGCACGCACATTTTTACTGTAAAAACTGTGCTGACTATAACTACCCAGGATCTCATGAAGACTGAATATATTAAGCCACCTCTAACTGTATTTTATTTTTTATTACGTTGGCCTTTGAAATAAAGGATATAAAGGTTTTTCAAAAATATTTTTTATTAATATAGGCTATGCCAAAGAAGAGTATAACTTTTAGTTTGTGAAAAACTCACTTTTATGTTTTTCATATATAAGAGTATGTGTAAATGTTTATTCTATTTCACTAGTTTATTTTATGTTTATCCAATAATAAATCAAAAACACTATACACACAAAAAACAAACAAATAATTTAAAACAACACATTCTATTACTCGATAATAATCAGGGTCCAGAAAACCCCACGTGGTGCAGGACGTAACTTTTATCCACGTGGTTCACGGAAGGTTAAATGTGCATGCTAATTGTAAGCATATATATATGCTTACAATTAGCATGCACATACGATACCATCCACACCATCTGGATGCTTGGCGGTCCACCACTGTACGTTTCAAAAGGAGTTTTCTTCCGCGTACAACCTCTCTGTGGAATAATTTACCACCGGTGATTTTTCCGGACCGACACGACCTGGGAAGAAAAGAGCTTACTCCTTTCTAAAGGGCCGGCAACGCACCTGCAATTCCCCTGGTGTTGTGGTTGATCATGGGCGGCGGTAGTCACTTAACATCAGGTGAGCCACATGCTCGTTTGCCCCCCTCTTCTATAAAAAAAAAAAAAAAAAGCAAAACATGTGAACTTATTTTACTGTACCACCTACAAACACCATGTTTTAAGCAAATAAAGAAATTATTATTATTATTATTAACGCCATTTTTATTACACTTACTAGTTGATCCCCGAGACCTCGCCCGCGTGTGTACCTATATTTTCTTTGCCCGTGTGTAACTTGTATTTTAATTTTTTTGTGCGTAACCATAATTCGTTTCCTGAAATAAATGCAGCTTTAAGTTACTGCTTATAACATTAGTTATCTGCCAGTGAAAGTCCCGTCAAAATAGGTCCAGTCGTTTCGGAGGTATTAGCCGACAAACGGAAAAAAAGAGACAGAAAAAATTATGTTTTTATTATAAGCAGGTACCGTACTTATATGCTTCCATGTGCATTTAGTAAAAAACTGTTATTTTGACATTAGGAACAGACACTTCCTTTATTTATTTGTATAGATTTCTTGATCACTGACTCCCTCATCGAAAGCCTAGACTACTAATACTAATTTTTTCATCATTTGTCATCATTGGAAATGATGTTTACAAAGTTTGTAGAGCATCTATAATTATTAATGGTTTATATCCGATTAAATTGTATATATGTTAATTGTATAATTGTACTAGCTTGCCAGGCTAACGTTCTGCCCTTTACGACGACCCTGTAATGTCAAATTGTGGGTCACTCATGGACAAAAAAAACTATGCTATTTCTCAAGCTGTACCAAACTGCACACGGTGTGCAAATTTGATTAAAATGGGTTTAGTAGAAACAACGTGACACGTAATTTATATATATATATATATATATATATATATATATATATATATATATATATATATATAATATTAAGATATGTGTACTGTTAAATTTGTTAAAAATACGGAAAAACGTATCAAGTTACAGTAGGTTAAGGTGCGGTTAAACTGCGGAAATTTATTTAATTTTTAAATTATGTATGATCATAATATATAAATTAAATAAATAATAAAAATATGACATCCACCGCATATTATATAAATCAATGTCTACCGCAGTCAACTACACCTTGTACATGTGTATCCGCACTATGGATATTGGCCGTAACATACTGCTGGCCGCACCTAGTTCTAGCCGACTAGGACTAGGTTAAACCGCACTTCGGCTATTAGGCGTAACATATATAAATAGAATAAATTAATTCATTGGTAACAATGAAATGAAATGGGCTCCCGCTTAGATCAGCTGTTATATCGATGAGTCCGACAGCCCCGTCCAAATTTGTACCTTTTTATTTTGACTTTGGTAAGACATATATTGACATTATAAGTGACAAAGAAAGTTGCGTCAATTATGTACAGATTATGTTTTTATTTATAACTTGCACCGATATTGGCAAGTAGGTGCCGACCTAAAATACTTTATATTCGTGTATGAATTTATATTAATAATTAATTAATTATTTTTATACCAATTAAACATTTGTTTTATGATCTCTCTTGACACCAGAATATAATTTTGCAATATATATAACACAATATTTATAGTACATAATACTCATAATTTTTTATCTGAAATCGGTATTATCAAAGAGAAGGAAGTACAAAATTGGCTAAAGGCCTACTACTTGCTACCTGAAATGGAAGTGCAAAAAGAATGCGCACGGTCTTTCATACAGTTTATTTAATAATATGAATAGGTATACAATTACACGAACATGACATTCATAATATAATTATTATTTATGGAATAAAACTAATTTTACAGATTTTTTTCGCGTTTTATTTATTTTTAATTATCTACATCACCCATGGCCATAGAGCGACATGAATGTGTTGTAATGTGTAGTATAAGAAATCATTATAATTATTTATTTCAGGAATACGAAATTAATTTAATGAGTTAATTGAATGTTAACTTAGCAGTCTCTTGAACATCCGATTGCTATTCACAGACCTCTTATATTTGGGAGTGTGATGAAGATGGAGAGACCCTTACGCTACTTCAAGTGTGTTTGTGTTGGCAGATTTCGAAGACCTAAAAACCCGAGTTCTAAACGATTTATCTCCATCGGTGACCACTTAACAAATCAAAAAACCAAGCTTTGCGTTGAAAATTAGTGCGAATGCAAATCCGTCTAGCCACTGTAGAATTTCCTAACCCTTACGCTACTTCAAGTGTGTTTGTGTTGGCAGATTTCGAAGACCTAAAAACCAGAGTTCTAAACGATTTATCTCCATCGGTGAGCACTTAACAAATCAAAAAACCAAGCTTTGCGTTGAAAATTAGTGCGAATGCAAATCCGTCTAGCCACTGTAGAATTTCCTATTTCGTTATTGACAAGTTCATTGTGTCCTTAGTATGTAGTCTGGGAGATTTGCACTTGCATTAATAATCTTTTTTTTTTATAGAAGAGGGGGCAAAAGAGCATGCAGCTCCGCAACCGCAACACCAGGGGAATTGCAGGTGCGTTTCCGGCCCTTTAGAAAGGAGTACGCTCTTTTCTTGAAGGTCCCCAGGTCGTATCGGTCCGGAAAAATCGCTGGTGGTAAACTATTCCACAGAGAGGTTGTACGCGGAAGAAAACTCTTGAAACGTACAGTGGTGGACCGCCAAGCATCCAGATGATGTGGATGGTATCGCGACGTTTGCCGCGTAGTGCGTTCACGAAATTTGGCGGCTGGGATTAATCCGAACAATTCCTCAGAGCACTCTCCATGGTATATGCGAAAGAAAATGCAAAGAGATGCAACATCTCTTCGCAGTGCCAGTGAATCGAGCCGATCGGAAAACACTCGGCCGTCGACGATTCGAGCCACTCTGCGCTGGATGCGGTCAAGTGGAAGGAGCTGGTACTGGGGAGTCCCAGCCCAGATGTGG